TTACACTTTTTGTTGTTTATTTGTTCATTTTAGGCTTTTATATTTTTATAATTCCATTTTATGCTGTTTTAATTTATGAATTAATATTTTATTTTGTTGGTTTTTATTTTATATACATTTAATATGAACTGTTTATGCTTTTTAAATGCCTTTTATTTAATTATTTAATTTTATTCCTTTTTTTAATGCTGTTTGCCAGAGACCAAGGTATGGCAAAAGAAGAGGAGGATCAAACTTGTGTTACCCACATCAGCACAACAGCTCAAAGAGCGTGTCTGAATTTGAATGAACGAGTGCTCAGGAATTTGCATCCACTGTTCTGTGATCAGAAAACCCCCCTTTCCCCCCAGTGTAAGTATCTGGGTCTGAAGTTTGATTGTCTCTTTACCATCTGTAGAGATCAGTGGGATCAAGCTGGCCCGGGAACAGCAGGTGGCACAAGCGCGGAGGAAGGCCACTCCTGTTGTGGGCGACATGAGGCCGCTAGCCGACGCTCTTCCTGAACTCTCCCAGCTCCTCCCTTCTTTCAGGACCCCCGGCAGGGCACAGCGGAAAAATAAAGCGTAAGTACTCGCTTTCCTCATTTCTACACAGAAACATGATTGTGTATGCTGGCAGCATATCCTCTGTGATCATTTGTGCATATGCATGTATTTGTTGGCATGAGTAAGCGCTCGTTAATAGTCTCTAAACAACACATTGTACTAACAGATTTCATGTAACACCTGTTTCTCTTGCAATGGGATTCAAACCGAATTTGTATTCATTTTCTCTCTTTCTGCCGCTTGATTTGCTCAATATTTATAGTATTATTAAAGTGCCCCTTTTATGCTATTTTTAACGTTCCTAATTTTGTTTTTGAGGTCTCCTAGAACAGGTTTACTTGCATCCAAGGTCAAAACCACTTAATATATCATAATATACATTGCAGCATCACCTCTTTCCTCACAGGGTCTGAAAAACGGTTAATTCGAACATTCAGTCTCTCTAAACCCCTCCTTTCTGAAAGCTCCTCTGCTCTGATTGGTCATATTACCCAGTCTGTTGTGATTGGTCTACTCTGCTCTGATTGGTCAGACAGGCTTTTTCCTCACTTATTTTTTGTTAATGTAAGTTAATGATGCTAAATATAAATGGTTCTGCATGTAACACAAATGTTTGTTCTTGTTTTCTCGTCTCAGTTCGGTTAAGAAGAAACCAGAACCCACAGACTTCAGCCTGATGAAACCAGCCCAGAAACGAAAACTACTGTAAGATAATGGCTTCCCTCTAACTTACAAACTTTGCTAATGTTAAAGCCACACTATGCAGGATTTCCGTTTTTTTCAAACTGTGACCCCTAGAGTCGCTGTGGAGAACTTGTACTGTTGTAAATAGCACTCACGGCCAACATTCATCTGACTATCATCTCCGAAAATAGTCAATTAACCATTGCAATAACTCCGAAGCTATTCAGTTAAGGTAATAAAACTGCATAGGGCTGCTTTAATTTCAGATCGGTGTTTTATTTTATCAATCATATAGAAAAAAAACATTTTCTCTGTAGAGTAACCCCCCACCAATCCCCCATTTCTTTTTGTTTTGCATTATTGTCATGGCAATTAAGCACATTACCTTAATGAAAAAACAATACAATTATTTCTATATTAAAAAATTATTTATATATTATTTAAATAAGATATTTTTTAAATGCAAAATTTATATTTAAATTAAACAATTTAATTGTTTTAATTGTAAATGTATCATACATTTTAATATTATAAATGATTAATTTATTTATAAATTAAATCAAATTAACAAAAACCTATGCGTTAATGGGAAAATCTCACATGTCCAGGTCACATTTTACCTTAAAAAAGAAAAAGAAAAGAATAAAAAGTCAATAATAATAATTTAAAAAAAAATAAAATAAAAAATAAAAATAAAAAAATACATATTTTGCTTAAAATAACTAATGTCTATTTCAGAGATATTATTGCTTTTTAAATTTTGTATTAATTCATTATTTTTGCATTGTCATGAAAATTAAACAGATTACCTTAATTAATGAAAAAATAAATGATAAAAAATCATTTATTTTTATATTATTCAAGCAATATATTTAATTTAAATGTAAAAAACATATATTATTTAAATAATTAATATTGTATGTGTATAATTTATATTAAATTAAATTTATGTATTTAAATACAATAACCGAACATATAATTGCCATGCAAATGATGTTACCGAAATGTCTCAGGTTATACAAATATGCCTAATTTTCTTTATATTTAATATATATTCTTGGTGTTTCACGTCATTTTTTATTGTGCTCAGATTATTAAGTCAAATTTTAATCAAATTATTATTATTTTTTTAATTCCAGCGAGACCGAAGCATCTTACTTCAACGAAGCCATGAAAAATCCCGCTTTTAAGACAAACCCTTTGGCTGCAATTGGTGATCATCTGCGAAAACGACTCAAACAAGAAGACGAACAGACTTAATCGCAACTCTGGAGCGCCGCCCTGTTGTTAGACCACAAAAACTGTATCTTATTATACGCTGGTACATCGAAACATTCAAATCGGTTTTGTACTTCATAACAGATTATAAAACGAAGAGGAATGTCTAGATTAGCATATCTGTCACTGTATAAACACTATGGAGTATATCGCAGTTCCTCTGCAATTTCAAAAACGTCGAAGAGTAAAATGAATTGCGTTCGCGATCATGTTATCACATATTATGAGTGTTTTCATGCTGTCTATTCCACATGCTTTTGGCTAGATACAAATAAATCCAATTGAAAATAATTACGGTTATATTTCTTTATTAGGGGTGTTTTCCAAGACAAGCATGACTTATAACGATAAAACAGGCGATAAAAATGACTGCCTGATTTGTTCACTTGCTGGAATTTCACAGACAAAAACCTCATTAAAGCGAGATCTCGTATATCAGATGCCTCTGCATTTCCATGACAACACGTTGCAAAGAGAAGGAAAGGGCGGCAGCTCTTTTCGAGATAAAGGAGACTTGGGAACCCGAACTCTGACTTCTCTTCATCACTTCATGGCTTTGATGTGTGATATTGAGGAGGATCTACTTCACAACCCTGTCAAATGCTGGGTGTCTCATAAACGGGCAACGTTATCGAATAACACCAGCATAAGTGAACACGAATGTAATGTTTCATGTTTGCGATGGACTAATGTGATTGTTAGTCCATTTAGAGAGAATCTGAGAAACCTGATGGGAATGTGAGTGTAGATGTTAGACGTTGTTCACCCAAACAAATGGGTTCTTTTGTCCGAAATCCTTTTATTTTAGGTAAGATGTGTTCGAATTCAGTGACATTTCAGTGAGAAAAGGAAAAGCTACTTTTGCCCATCAATATCTTCTCACCAATAATTATTGCCATGTTTGCAGTCAGTGTTAGAAATTATAGTTTTTTTTTATATTTACCCCTGGAGTCTATATTTAGCCTCAGTCTGCACACAGTTTCATACTTTTGTCAAGTAAATTGACATCTTTATAAGCATGTGTTATATTTTTTCCTCACATGAATTATATTTTTATTTTAACATTCATTAATTGGTTATCTATCTCGTTCTATCTATTGTCTGTCTATCTAGTTACTAATCTGTTCTAGTTACATTAATATGTGATGTGAAAAAACACGTAGCCTATTATACCTTTTCTTGTGTTATACATTTTTTTTTAAATGTGTAGCTTGTGTTCGTTTTTATGATGTATTTTTTTTTTAATCTTTTGTTTGTGTCTCTTTTACAGTATAGCAGAATTTTTGTGTGTTTATTTTATACATTTTTATTTATTTATTTACTTTTAGATAGGGGCAAATGCTTTATAATGATAATTTCGGTCTTAATGGCACATAAAATAAGCTTCATTTTCATTATGGTTTTAGTGTGAAATCAACACACCAGACAGTAATCAGGCCAGTGGCATGTGTGTAGACTGGAGTGAGATATTTGCTCTTAAATTATTTGAGTGTTTCTGAAATAACGAACTGGCAGTTATATAAAGCGATATGCGTCAGTGTATGGAGGCGTGTGGCCGCTGCTCGCGTGCCCGTGCTGTGATGTGTGATGATTCCTCCTCGTCTCCTCTTCATCCTTCACTAGGTCGGCCTCTTAACCGCAAGCGACGCCACCCCAGAATCCCCCACTCATGTGAGTCAACACACACACGCACACACACACACACGGGGTCAGGAGATAGCGCGATTGTCCTGATCTTTATCAGTAGCCTCGAAATGTGCAGTATTTAGGCTATATAAATGATTCATTTAGGCATAGGCTTGTTAGAAAGGCCAGGACAAAAGAGATAGAGAGAGAAATAAATACACTTCTGGAGACGTAACACAGCATGCATGCATAAGCAGGCAAATAGCCTAGTAAATAACTAAAACACTGTATGCCTATACATAAAAAAATCATATTGAAGTAAATGTTTCTAAAATATGTATTATATATATATATATATATATATATATAATGCAAAAGAAAACGACCACGACGAAAGTTATAGAGTGTGTGTAACACAGAATAATCATAAATAATCGAGCAGCATTTGAAGAAAGAATCCATGAAATAATTAGGATACATATTTTGGGAGGAGACAGCTGTCAATATAAAATATGCTTATGCATGTTGATAAAGATTTATCTATTAATCTATCTAACTACCGATATCCATATTAATGTAACCTATATAAAAGCAAAAAATAATACACTTTATACATATACAATCTCATATAATGTTATGTTATAAAAAAAATAACTTGTTTTTTTTCTGTTGTTCAAGTGGGAGTTTTACAGCTCTTTAAGTTTATCCGTATAAATTAAACAATACGACTGCCTCTCTGACCAATCAGCGCGAGAATTTTACCTGTGAAGCCTGATCCACCAATCAAACGGCAGGCCGTAAAGAGCCCTCCCACTCTTTGGCCAATCAGGGTTCAGCATGGGCTAGTCCTCCGTATCATCACTCTATTCGTATCACAGATGCAAACAGGCGTAATTAAATGACTCGCGGTGTGAAATGCAGTGATGCTCCGCGTGCGATAATTCAACGGGTGTCGACATGAGCCACACGCCTTCTTTGTAACGCATTGCATTCAGCATTTAGCTTTTATTCCTTATATTACGTGCTGTTCATTGGAAGCTTTTCGTTCATCAGGATTCATCTCTGGGATATCAACCAAACATCGTACTGTGAGTAATATTCACATTTAGGCTATTCATGCACAAAAAATAGGCCTATAGAAGCATGCATTCAATTGACATTATTTTGTGTTTTTATTAATGCTCAAAGATCTCTGTAGTCTTATCATATAAATAGATGAATGAATGCAGTGAATGGTCTGTGATATACATGAACTTCAGATTTGATTTAGATACTGATGTGGTTTCTTTTTTTTTACTACTAAACAGATGCACTGACTGATGAGTTTTTAGACACTCGAGTGAACTGAGCGTCTGTCCCAACTGCTTTTGTGACGACAAATAAATATTGATATATTGTAAATTACATATATCAATATCAATTATATAGGCCTACTATATACCAATATATCTCTCTCTATATATAAGATATATCAATATACATATGTATATATGTGAGTGGGGTAGATTACTTACAAACTGTAGTCTGTTTCCAAAATCACATGAAAAACGAATTGTGTTTAGTAATGTGATCTCATTTTAGATCATTGTGATCTCATGATCACAATGTAATGTAACTCATTTTAGGTAATGTATTCTGATTACTTTTAGATTACTTTTGAGCTAACTCGTTTATCACATTGGCATCTTACCATATTGATATAAAAATCCAAGGAGAAGGAAAATATATTCCATTCTTTGTTATCAACAACATAAAGTGTATTAAATATTACCGGTTTCCCAGACTGGGGTTCATGATGGAACTGCTTCTTTTTCGTGTGTTTAATAAAAAAGCTATTAAGTCATAAAAATGTTGAATTAAAATGTTAAAAAAAAATAATTTTAATATTTTTTTTTTATTATTATTGATTATTCTAACAGACTTAATTGTATTATTTTCCTAACTTATTTACTTCTAATCTAATGGTTTACTTTAAGTAAATGCATATTAGGGCAAAGAGGTTCAGTTGTCAAAAAAGTTCAGAAATCCCTGAATTGCATGTAAATATGAAATTAACATAAATGTGTTCAGTTTAATGTGTTTGAAAGACAGAAGTCTTCACTGTAAAAAGTATATGATCAATTAATTATGACGTATGTTCTTACATTGCTTTAATTCATCAAAATAATCCAAGTTGATTGTACTTAAAAATTTAAGGCAGCAACATTTTTTACAGTGTTCCAAATTAATACAATGTTTATGTAATATATAATATATTTGTAATATATATATATATATATATATAATTAACACAATAACTAAAGGACACAAATTGCGAACAATTAATACAAATAGTAATTTAACTGTCGCTGTTCTATACTGATGCTGAAAGCTGCTTTGCTCCTCTTGTTTGGATTCCAGTCATAGTTTGTTTTAAGAAAAACAATCTAAAACTCTTGCCCGGGCGAGTATGAATTCTGCTAGTAAAGAAATGAGGTGTGCAAAGATGTGGAACTGAGCCTGGTCTGATTAAATGAAAGGAAAAACAAAATGCACAATCAAAAGCCGAAGAGAATACAGACCTCAGAACACTTTTAAGTTTGGTGAACATTCTAGACTAGGCTTAACGCTTTATACTGGCCTAGGAAAGCTTTTGAAAAGTTTTGAAAGCTTTGGTTAGATGATCTTACGGAGTTGCTGAGCGGCAGCCCGTTTTACATCTAACAGTTCAGAATCAGGATGGGGAATACTATTACACTAATTGCACTTAAACTGCATTAATATTACAACAACCATAGATCAGGAGCGCAACAGCACGCATACCCTTCAAAAAACATTGCAATAAAATAAAAATTATTTGTATTATTTATTTTTATATTTAATTAATATTCTTATTCATAAATATATTAATGGAAATAAATAATAATAAAACATGATTTATTAATATTTTAATTAATATAATTTTAACATATTTAACAATCTATACTGTTCAATAGTTTACATTTTGACTTCTTGCTCTTGAATCGCAGCATGCTTTGCACATTTGCGCTTTTCCGCACAGTTGCTCAGTGATGTTGACTATCCAATTAATATTAATGCAATTAATATTTTTAAATATAAATGTTTTGTAGATTATGCGTAATCATTTGCAGCTTCTTCAGAGAAATAGTAAATACAAACATATATATATTCTAACATCTGCAAGAACTTTAGTAATTTAAAAAAAATTGTATTCCAGTTAATGCATGTCTTTATTTTTGAAAATATCTTTTTGTCTTCAATTACCGTAGCATTTGATGTCTTTGCTGGTGCCTTATGCTGAAGCTTTATTGATGAAACCTTTGTAGTTGTTTTTACCTCATACAGTGTTGCTAAATTTAGCAACTTTGTCACTAGATTAGCGACTTTTCAGAAACCCTGTGTTCACTTTTTTTTCTTCAGAAAAGTAAACAAATAGCGACAAATCAAGTGACTTTTTGGATTGCTGGTTAACATGTTAGTCACTAGTCTATACTTGTTCCGTTGTCTGACAGAAAATAAATAGATGAGAAGAGCTGGTAACACTTTATTTTTTACGACCCTGAAATTGGACATTCAGCAATATATTAAAGTTACAGTATTTGAGATGCAAACAGATGTAAACTGCGACATTTAAAGCAGGCTTTTGATGCTTTCCACTGAAAATAGTTGGCAACACTGACCTCATATTTTCATAGCCCAGTCATATTTTTATATTTTTTGGATTCCATTTTTTGATTAATTAGATTTTTATTTTTTTTTAATAAACACTGCTTTTTGGTTTGCCACTAAATCATACAAATATTCCTTTCTAATAAGTAAAGTTGCTAAAGAGTTTTGAGTTTGGCAGAGTTTAGGAACTTCGCAAATGCAAGCAAAGTGTGCTGTGTTGGATGCTAGCCTACTTCCCAGAATGTCCGACTTGACCTTGTTTCCAGTGTGACGAATGAATCCCTGTGAATCAGATTTCAAAAATGGAGTTCTGCATACTGTACACGCAGTCACTTTAAATTTAAACTGCATTCATTTCCATTTTAAAAACAGTTTAGTTCACATTTAGTTCAACAAGTGCTAACCGGTTAGCTCGGGAGTGAATAGATATTTCATCCATGTTAAAGAAGTTGCAGTATATCCAAGTGAAATTGCTTCTAGAACAAGAAAAAATGTTGGGCGGGACTTGATTTTGCCCTTTGGGAATTGATTGGGCCATTGGATTGTTGTCTTCTATTGAGTGCCAACGTTATGACGTCACTTTGTAGGCCAAAACCAAGCGGCAATATTCTAATCTGAAAGCTGAAGCCTACCCGGAAGTGCGAAAAACTGCAATACATCTCAAATCCACTAGAGGCCGGTCAAAAGTGGGCAAATATCCATAGACGTCATGTTAAAATCTCCTTTTTCACAGCATAAATTCATATGTTTACAGTTTGGTCCCATGAACTTTTATTGTAATCTTCAATATGTTCCGTGTGCCTGACAACTGTGAGGGGGGTGAATTTTTCTCTAACTCGTTAGTTTAGATCATATTTAGATATAAAATATATGACAAATAAGGACGGTTAACTTTGATTGACAGCTGATAACGGGCTGCGCCGAGTGGAATTTGACGTCTCGGCCATGATCTGACACAACACACCACCTCTGTATCCTTTCTGAAACTTTTGTATTTTGTATTTCCCAAGATTTTCCAGTATGGCGCCCCATAAACCCGTTCTCAGAGAGTCTATGGGTGACGTCACAGACGCTTTGTCCATATTTTTTACAGTCTATGGCCAAAACGCGGAAGTGAGTTAGCATATTAGCACTCCCGGTTCCCTCGCTCTAAAGTCTATGGGATTTTTTAATGGATTTTTGCTAAATCGCCTGAAATAAGGTCTGCGGTGAACAAAGCCTCTAAATATTTTCACGTTTTGATCTATGACATAAAACACACCAGTTATAACCAGCTTGTGGTTTTTTAAAGTTTAAAATGAATAAATTTTGGATCAACAAAACGTAAAAAAACGTGTAAGGGTCACAACTCTTTGTTGAACACAGATCTTATTTTTTACAATTTTCCAAAAATCGATGTGGAAAATGCGTAGCTTTTCGATCGAGGGAACACATGCGCCACTAACTTTCGAGTTTTCCTGCAAAGTGACGTCATAACTTCGGCACTCTATTGCTGTGATCTAGTTTAATAATATTTCATATAAAAATAGGAATTGTCCATTTTTGACTTATTGATCATATCTTTTTACATTGTAGATGGTTAAGCACATTGCATTGTGGGATACATTTCCATTCAGTGTGTGGAGAATATAGTTGTAGGTCAAAACCAGAAGCCCTCCATGTCTCCAGTTAATATTTTGCACCTTAAAAGGCGTGAAACGTGGTATAGTTCCAGCAGATAACTAAATCGGCCATATTATCATGCCAAACCGTGACCCTTTGGTTAATAAACTGAAGCTAATTAATAAGCCAAAAGCAGGTGATCTAAAAAAATATGCAGCAGGTGGGTTGTTTAGCGGAGTCTTTGTGGTGAAGTGGCTCTTCCCATCATGATGAGATGCATTTGTACTTTATCTCTCTTTGTGCAGTCACGAGCCAGCTGTTAGCAAAGACACATCAAGCGTCTCTAGCTGAATCATCAGGTCACGAAGCATGATTCATCATTTTTGGCTCATGGTTTGCGTGAGAGGCCTCAGTGCACTTTTTCTTTAAAGGGTCAGTATTTTACACTCTTGTAATTTATATGTTCCCTCAAGTACACCAATAATGTTAGTCGAGGTATCTTGGACCAGATAGGTCGAACTTTACATGGCAGATTTCAAGTTTTGAGCGACCCTAAAATCTTGTTCCTTGTTGTTTTTGGATTTTTGAAAACGAAATGTTTTATTCATAAAATCATGCTTAATTATTTCTCCCTCAGTATAAATGAGTCAGTAGTAAACACACAATAGTAAAACCATATTTAATTTTGGTTTTACTGCTAGTTAATTAATGGCTATAGTAATACCATAGTTAACTGCAAATGCTAGTAAAACCATATGCTAAAAATTAACCATGGTATTACTTCAGAAACATTCTTGTAGTTACTATGGTTACATTGCTAAATCATAGTTAAACCATGGTTAATTAATTTTCATTAGGGTTTAATTTCATAAATTCATTAGATTGAGAATGCTAATGCTAACGCTAATGGATAGCTATCATTGTTATTACTGCAGTGCAATTTGTTGTTTTCTCTATTCTGTGAGTTGAATTATATTAAAAAATTAGTTGTGATTTCATTGTTCAGGCATAAAACTGTTTCCATTTAAGTATTGATCTTTATTGAGTGCGTTACAAGAGGAAAAAAGATTTAATCCATCTCTTTTAATGATCTTCTGTCAGGCGGTCCCATCTGTGCAGTGCTTTCTTTTTGCAAATGAATGAGCTTTTGGAGCAGGGTTGAGTAAAGACGGATTACTGAAGATTTGACTGTCTAGTTTGATTTACAATGTGGGACTTTAAGAAGGACAGAAAATTGGAAATGCCGAAAGAGACAACAGAAAGGGTAAAGCAACAGTTTAAAGATAACTTTGCTGTGGAAGTATAGCTAACATTAGTAGCCAAACAGCTAATTTCAACAACTGCTATTAAAAAAATCAACTGATTTGAGACTGAGAGTATCTTTCTTGGCAAAGTTGAAGTTAGCCAAGTATAGATAAGTCGCCATATTTTAATTATGGTAATTAGACATGCGTGAACGCAACATAAGCTCATTGTTTTGTTTCAGGAATAACTGTAAAAGGCGGCTGCAGTTTGTTTTTCGGCCATAGACATATACACTAGACGTCACCTTGGGGTTCAAAGCATGCGTCAAAACCGCCGCCATCTTGGAACAGGGGAGTTGCTAGGTAACGCTGCTATCTCTGCCTTTACTTCGAATTAATGGATGGTGGCAGACTTTTGTGCAGCGTATGATGTTCACGGATGAAATCTGAACTAGGAAGAATGTTTTTAAAAACAAAAAATTCTGGAATCAATGATAAATACATGTCTGACCATTGGAACGAACCAAAAAAATGAGAAAAATCACATTCATGATGATTTATGGTGATTTTAGACCTGTGTTTACATTGACGCTGATGCATTAAAGTGGAGGGGCTCCCGTGTTTCAAGATGGCGGCTCTATTAACGCATTCGTTCCAATGTACTGCCGTAGCCAAGGTGACGTCTAGTGTATATGTCTATGGTTTTCGGCGAGTGGCCAGAGGTATGGAAATGCATTATGTTGACAGGCAGGATCATTGCATTCGAACGGACAAACATTTATTTGGTCCTCTTGAGACTTCCATAGAAGATATATGTAATATTTTTTTAAATACAGGCCACTTCTATTATTGATTAGTATCAGGATTTGAAGAGAGTTTTAACCAGTATAACAAAGTGTTTATGAAAAACATTGCCTGCCCTACCTTTAATATCATTTTCACCTTGAATTGATATATTGTCCTGACTCCTTTTCTTTGCTAATTGTCCTCTGACGAATAATACTCGTTTGCAGCTGACACTGTGAAACAACGTACCCTTGACGATACGAGCCCATTAGAGGCGTTGGGATTCTGTGAACTTATTCAACAGGAACATTTTAATTTGATATCCTCAGAGCAGGTCAAACCATTTTTTTGGCTTTCTTTTTCAGCTTGTTTTGCCTGTTTTTTTGCCTGCATGACTATTCGAATAAGCAAGCCCTGTTTAATTAAGACTGGTTTTGGGGTCACCTTACCCTGATTGGATGAACTTAAGCGATGTTTACATGAGACATTAAACTGAAATGTTATTTTCCCCAATATTAAAGTATTTAAGTGTTCTTTGGAGTATGTTTTGGCCTTGGAGACTGAATTACATGACTGAAAAACAGATACACCGATTTACTCATTCAACCCCTAATATTTAATTTTCCAATAATACGTTTTCACAGTCTGCCCTGTGGTTTCATTTGACGTGCCTCCTGACGTTACATTTTTAATTTGTATACAAAAACAGCTTGTGTCTAATTATACATTGTTTTTACCAGCTTGTATTTGTCTCATAAATGGGACTGTGTGTGTGTTTTGTTGAACTGCGGATACCGCTGCATCTATTTTTAGCTTTAATTGTGAATATTAAGCAAAAGGCGGCCGTACACAACTGGAGGAGATTAGACGGGGAGTCGTTTAAAAAAAAAAAATAATATTTGCGTGTTTGTTGTGCGGCGTCGTAAATGGTGTTTGCTGGGAATGTTTCCTCCCGAGGGTTTGCAAAAGAAAACTCATTTTAGTGTTTTGTTTTCTTGTATAAGTATATTTCCAAAGAATAGGGGGTTATTTACATTTTCCATACGGAGCCAATTCTCTGGGTATTTGCGGGGGTTAAGAAGTAAATGCTAAATGTATCCAAATTGAGTCTAAATGATTCAGACTGAAGGTCTGGTCTTAAATGTTAAATGAGTTAACGAAGGGACCGTTATGTTAGGAATAAATGCTAAGGGTCTGATCACTGATGTGATCCTTCAGTTTGTGTGTGTGTGTGTGTGTGTGAGAGAGAGATACAGTTTCGGTGTCATGGTGGTTTCATTTTAATCATGTATGTAACATTACATTTAATCACAATTTCCCCATTTAAATGGAAGTGTATGCGAGGAATTTCTCAGATATCCAACTTACCTTGTGTAACTTACCTTAAATTAGGGTTAAACAAGTTCAAAGACCAAAAGTAGTTTGATTTGTCAAATCATTTTGTACACAGTACATGAGCCAATACATTTTCCTGCAATTGAAACATCCAGCTATTTATTTTTATTTTTTACTTAATGTTTTTATTTAAATAGATTTTTTTTTAATTGATTAAATTTGTATTTTATTTTTAATACTTTTTTTAAATTAGTATTAATTATTTTAATTATTATTATTATATTTATTTATTATTGTAATATTATTATTTAAATGGTTATTTTAATTTTATTTTTGTTAAGTAAGAGACCGCCATCTATTTAACGGTTCTAAATATTGCACATTTCTCTTTTTTCCTTTTATGTAACCACACATGAGAGTTATGTTTCAAAATAACATCATAATTCAGTAATTCAACATAATTAAATTAAGCAAACATTTGTTTCCTGCATAGTTTGTAAAGAAAATGTGCTGTCAGTACTTGTTCTCGCTCATGTTTTTTTGTGTGCACATATGTGGGCTCTTATCGCAGCAGGTGGTGTTTTATCGTGTCTCAGAAACTCCATATATGTTTGGTAGCACTTACTGTGTTGTTCAATCAGATTTTTTCAACTGTAAGCGATCCCAACTTTTGTCTTAGTTTTAGTTACTCGTCTTTTTGTCTTTTTTTTTTTTTTGTCTTTTTTTTCTACATCAGCTATGGTTTAACGTCTGGTCCATACAGATCCTCTAGTTTGAATGGAAGAGGCTGTTCTAGGACTCCCTGTTCCCTTTGCACAGTGAAGCACAACACAAAACGCACATACTAACATCCAGTACATGATGTGAAACTGGCTGTCTCTTATTTTAGGCCTAACATGCTTACGCAAGGTCATGACAGCCAATCATAACTGAAGGTCTTTTGAGGTTTCATTCTCCTCATGTCACGAAGAACCCAAACAGACAATTAACATTTCTCAAATTAAGCCTACAATTCTTCTTTTAAAAAACTTTTTTTAAATGCCTCTTAATGACTCTTCCTCATGTCGTTCCAAGCCCGTAAGACCTCCGTTCATCTTCGGAACACAGTTTAAGAGATTTCCGAGAGATTTCTATCCCTCCATTGAAAATGTATACTGTCCTTGTCCAGAAAGGAAATACAGACATCATCAAAGTAGTCCATGTGACATCAGTGGGTTAGTTACAATGTTTTGAAGCATCGAAAATACATTTTGATCCAAAAATAACAAAAACTACGATTTTATTCAATATTTTATTGTCTCGCGGGCTTGGAACGACATGAGGGTGAGTCATTAATGTCATAATTTTGGGTGAACTAGCCCTTCAAATGTGAATAAAAGCCTTTCTGAGTCACCTCAGAAAATTTGGACTTAACCGCTCAATTCATATGGATTCGTTTTACGATCTATTTAGTGGCGCAGTATCTGCAGTCTAGGACAGGAAGTTCACCCTTTATTTACACTGAGGTTACAGCGCCATCTTCTGGCAGCATGTAGCTAGTGCGTTTAAGATTTCAACACAGTCAAACCACCTCTTAAAGTGATAATTCGTCCAAAAATGAAAGTTCTGTCATCATTTACTCACCCTCAAGTTGTTCAAAACCGGTATTAGTTTCTTTCTTCTATCGAACACAAAAGAAGATATTTTGAAGAATGTTGGTAACCAGACAGTTGACGGTAGCCATTGACTTCCTCAACTGTAATGATCAAAGTGCTGTACTGTTAAAATGCTGATATCTCTGTGTTTTTGTTACAGGTTAATCACTGTAAGGCTTGTACAGAAAAGGAGGGCAAACGTACAGGTGGGTTTCATGTGTTTATACTTCATATGCAAAATATACAGTAATCTGCTGTTCTGATTATCTGGTTTCTATACTTTGCATTTGTTGGTGAGTTGAGTGGAGGTAATCCTGTTTGTGGCTGCATGTCAGATATCAACTGTGGCGCGTTTTAGTCAATGTCCACCAGAGGGAGGCAGAGGGTTGCTAATCGAGTTTGTAGGTATTCCGACTTCACCTTTTACTCTCGTTCTGCCTCAAAATGAGATCGAGTTTTTCCTGCTCTTTGTGTACGTATACACACCAGAGACTGAATTATTTGACTGTATTTGAACGAACCTTCAGCATAAAAAGACCCCCCCCCCCAAATACTATTAATTTTTCATTACTATACTCAATACTATTTTTCATTAATTTAATACAATTGAGTTATACCATTTTTTTATTAAATTAATCTAAAATGTCAATAATAAATTATTATTATTTTTATTTATGTAAAAGTGTATTTAATTTAAATGTATTTAATTTAATTAAATAAAATAAATTTAAAATATTATTAAATATGTATTGAATAATTGTCTGAAAAGATATTGTTATTTTCATTTTAATTTAGTTTAATGACAATAAATTCAAATATATTTTTGGTAACACTTTACAATAAGGTTTCATTTATAACAATGAGCAATACATTTGTTTCATTATTTATTAATCTTTGTTAATGTCAGTTAATAAAAATACAGTCATTCATTGTTAGATTCAATGTTAACAAATATAACTTGATTTTAACTTGATTTATTATTAAATGTTGAAATATGGTGAACTAGGATTATTAAATTATGTAGATGTTTTGTTAATGCTTAGTTAATGTTAACAAAGAAACCTTTTTTAAATAAATTTTATAATGAAATTGATAAAATACAATAACGTTTCCTTGTATTTAAAATTAAATGTGAATAATAAGTTATATATTATTATTAATTTATGTAAAAAGTGTATTTAATTTACATTTATTTAATTTTAATGTAATTTTACATTTTATTATTTTTTATATATATATATATATATAATCACCCCAGCTTGGTGAAATTAAGGATATTTACTGAAGATTTATTGAATAATGGTCCAAAAAAAAAAATTATTATATTATATTATAATTATATTGTTTTATTTAATTTAATGACAAATAAATTCAATACTATTTTTCAATAATTGCATAATAAAATGAATCAATACAATATCAAAATATATATTATATGTTATTATAATAAATAATATTAATTAACATTAAATGTAAATATTAAATAAATAATTATAATTATTTAAATATTAGTAAAATGTCATTTAAATATATTTCTTTTAAAAATGAATCTTACTTAAAAACATATTTCTTAATGAAATATGACTATTATTAATACTAAACTATTTATTTAATAGAAAAATGTGACTGTTAATAATAAAAATGCTCAAATAACAAGTACTCCTGTTGAAGGTAAGTGGTGTTCTGTAAGGAAAAAAGCTGAAATCTGAACTGACAGTGACATGAGGGAGTGACTAGTGGAGTTGACCGCAGGTACATCCCACCGTCAGCCCTATAACAGTCCCGTCAGCCCTCCCTCTCCACAGAGCATCACTCCTGCTCTCCTCCTCCCTCTCACCCCTCGCTCCAGAGATCCTGGGATTTCCTATGGCTCAGTGTCAGAGCTGCTCTCAAAGCATGGGCGCGTATTATTGCCTCGTTCGCAGGAGGTTCAAGAGAAGACGCAAAAAACGATCCGAACGCAAAGGTAAACTGTCCGTTTTTCCACATAAAATCACTTTGAGCCGCTCTGGAGCGAAGTTCTTAAATGTAAACATTCGTAAATTTTTACTGTAAACATTTGGCACTTTGTTTTGTTAGATTTATTTGTTTCAACTTCATCCTTTAAATGAGGATTTATTTAGGGTACCAACTATAAATATATTTTGTTAGTTTGTTTGAGAGAGCTATTTTTGTTCGGTTTGGAGGTATTTCTTTTAGTTATTTATTATTTATATATGTATTTTTCTAATACAGAAGAAACAATATTTCTATCATTATTTTTGAAACCTGTCATAATAAAATTATGTTTGAGAAGCCTATCTGAATATGTGTCTTGTAATATAACAATTGTGATTTATTATCGATGCCGTTATGTAGTTTAACAATGGCCAAGGAAAGTTTTTAAATAATTTTTGAAATGTTTAAAATTAATGTTTAAAATAATATGATTTTTTTTCTATTTTTATGTATGTATTTTTTTTTTTGTTCTGTTTGTACCACGAATTGTTGTTTATTATACTTTCAGAATGCGGGGTTGTTTTAACTAAATTTTGGTAAAATATGGACAAACCCAGCCATTGGGTTACATTTTTAATGTCCGTATTTTACCCAAAATTGAGTTAAAACAACCCAGCATTTTTTAGAGTGTATTGGCATCAATAACGAAAATAAAAGAAGAATGTGATTCCAACTGCCATGAATTTTTTTTAATTAATTAATTACATTTCTATTAAATTAATATAAAAATTCAAGCCACTGATATGTCTATAGTACATTTTTAATAAGTATAATTAATTTTTTTTATACATAACAGTTAATCTGCTATTTTTATTTTTTATTTTGGTGAACATAAAATGACTTTTAAAAATCCAGTGATGTACTAATGGAAAAGCCATGGAAACTAGTTAAAATATCAAGTCTCAGACTAGTACGTTATGTATACCTGGTGTGTTTCAGCTGTCAAGCGTTATGTTCCCCTGCGTCTTGCCCTTAGACGAGGTTGGTAAAAGCTCATGTACTGTTTCTCTCTCTCTTCTTGAGACTGTCGTGTCGGTGCTGAAGGCGGAAGATAGCAGGTTCAATTCAGACAGCTCCTCATGTGTGAAGTTTAATCCGTCTCATTAGAACGGCCACTTCACGCTGCTAATCTCTCACCATGGTTACGCCGCCACTCCAGTCCAGTGCAGCCGCGACTCCAACGATGAGCAATTGAGTTAGAATTAAGATAAACGATAAGCTTTTAATTCACTTCCGCAGATATGTGATGCTTTGATGGGCCGAAGTCCTTCCTGAGATGTTAATAAGTATAAAACTAACTTTGCCTTTTGATTATGATCTTGCCTTTGTTCCAGTTTACAATGGCAATGACTTCTTTGGTGGTTAAGCAATCACTTTTGCAGCTGAAATGATAGCAGCGATGGGAATCACAAGTAATGGCAGGTTTTGATTCGTTTGAATTTATTAGAGACCTTGACGATGATTCTTTTAGTAGTTTTGAGGGAGAAAGAATGTGGAAATGTTTATTCTTATTGCATTTATAACCCTCAGAAGCCTGTTTTCAGATTATGGGAATTTCCAATTGTTCAGTAATTTTGCAGGTTTGAAGTCTTTTCCGGTTCTAAAGGCATATATATATATTTATATTTAGGGCTGTCAGACGATTAATCGCATCCAAAATAAAAGTTTGTGTTTACATAATATATGTGGATGCACTGTGTATAATTAATTATACTATAAATTATATATAAATCTATATACTGTACAGTATACACATGAAAATATTTCTTAAATATACAAGCATGTGTGTATTTATATAAAATAATTATACACAGTGCACCCACATATATTATGTAAACACAAACTTTTATTTTGGATGCGATCATGCGATTAATTGCAATTAATCGTTTGACAGCCCTAATATATATATATATATATATATATATATAAAATAAAAAATATAATTTTATTTATAAATAATATTTATAAATTAAATTATATATTTTTATTATATATATATATATATATATATATATATATATATAAATTTATATAAATATATTTATTAAATATATATATAAATATATTTATATATTTCTATAAATTTATATATATATAACATTTCATATAATTACTTATTTATTTTTATTACTTTATTATTTAGTTTTGTGAATTGTAATTTTTACTGAAATGGTTTTAAATAAGAAGTTCTTGATTTCTTTGGAAAACGCTGCTCACAACCTTTTTTCTTTTTGACAATCGGTTGACTGCTCTCTATCCTAATCCCAAAGCAAGGTTTGCAGACATTCTGGCATCGTTTGGGTGAAAACACACACACACACACGCAAATGAACCGGGAAGTTATTTGGTTTTGGGTGCCTGGTTGAAAATATACAAATTTTAACAGAAATGGGGCACAGCAAATTAGATAAACATGGTTACTTAAGCGTTTCTACACCCTGTGCCATCGTCTCTCATGCCCAAACAAAGAGATAAAAAAACCATTTCCTCTAGACCAAGTGTAGTGGAGTGAAGTCCTGGGGGACGGACTGTGAGTTTAATCTACTGGAGGGGGGAATAAATTCAGCATTAGCTCAAGCGATTCACGTTTGACCAGCCGAAACCGAGACCGTGTCCAGTCCACCTGTCTCCTCCTCTCCCCCTTTTCCCTTCTGATGGACTTTGCGATAAATCCGTCTCCGTGGCATGTGGTCTGTTCTGGAGCTTTGCTGATAAAGTGTGTTATCTATCCCACCTGTTCTCATCTGTAACATCAGTGGCACCTGTGTTTGCTCCTTTAGACACTCCTTCATGCATTGAGGATAACGGCTTTTCACTTTTTTTTAGAGGTTTGCTCCTAGTTTACCCAAACATAAAAAAAGTTATGTTGTATAATCGCCTTTAATGGGATTCCAAACCGGTATGACTTGCTTGCTTTTGTAGAAGACAAAAGAAGATATTTTGAACAATATATAATAGAAGTCAATGGGGTCCAAAACAACATCACAGTGGACCCCATTGACTTGAATGGCGAAAAATAAACATTTTTCATAATGTTTTCTTTTGTGTTCTATGAATGACATGAGGATAACTGAAATAGTTTATTTTCATTTTTGGGTGAATGTAACAGGGAATTACATTAGAGGTTTGCTCCTAGTTTACCCAAACATAAAAAAGTTATGTTGTATAGTCGCCCTTAATGCCATTCCAAACCGGTATGACTTGCTTTCTTTTGTAGAAGACAAATTTTGAACAATATTTCAACTGTTTTTGTCCATATAATGGAAGTCAATGGGGTCCAAAACAACATCACAGTGGACCCCATTGACTTGAATGGCGAAAAATAAACATTTTTCAGAATGTTTTCTTTTGTGTTCTATGAATAACATGAGGGATAACTGAAATAATTTATTTTCATTTTTGGGTGAATGTAACAGGGAATTTTATTACACAATGTAAACTCAGAAAAATGCAACTGCTGACCCCAAACTCACACCATGGTCTCAGTATGTCTGACTCCATTTTTCTAGCTCTCTTTCTATCTCATTGTTGGCGTGTATGTCTCGGTACATGTGCGTTAAATGATGAAATCGCCTGATTAGCTTTACGAATTGACACGCAGCTCTGCCACTGCCCGCCAAGTCCCTATGGAGTCGGCACTAAACGAATGCTGTCATAAAGATTTTACAGGTCCTGTGGTGAAGACATGGATATACTGGCAGATGCTAATTGTCTTTATTTGATGACTTGCAGTTATCATTGTAAACTCCAAGTTTAAAGAGGCTATGACACATTCACAAAGCTGAGCAATGACATTATATTGGACGCATCATTGCTGCTTTATCAGTAATTTTGTTGAAATATATATAAGTCAACAACATGTACACAAATTTTAATATACACAAATTAAAACTATATATATTTATATGCATGTTTTAATTTGTGTGTATATTATGTATTATGTTGTAACTCATATTATGATATTGGATGTTGGTCTGTCACTAATATATATATTTTTGCTTCCACAGGGATCTTCAGCAAGACAATGAATGATGGTAGGGAAAATATAGTTTGTGTATAGTTTAATATATATATATATATATATATATATGTATTTTTATACTAATTTGTCAAATATTGCATGTTAAATTTGATGCACTTTATTGTTTAAAGAAGCTCTAGCCATAAAGCAGCATTTTAAACACAACACATTTCTGAGACTTCAAATCATATGTTTTTTCAGTGACCTAGGAAATTGTAAAATAACTTGTAGGGTTGAATTCAAGTTTCCGCTTATAGTCCAGGAAAAGTAGCGTTTTACGACAGACTAATTGTAAAATAATTTTTTGCAGCTTAGATGATTTCTATGAGGTGTCCAGAACAACATACTAAAAGTTCTAAGAAATCCTAGTTGGTGAAATATGTTAAATTCTCATCAATCCGAGATGTGAGCTAATAAGGCCAGGCAATAGTACAACAATGGAGCTATTTTTTTCCTTTACTCCTATCAAAATGAAACTTTACACAATGAAAGTACCATTGAAAAGTACAACATTTTGTATTACAAGAATTTTAATAATCAAATGAGCTATACACTATCAAATATGCCCAAAATACACCCAAATAGGCGTATTTTTCCTTTACTCCAACCACAATAAAACTTTACATATTCCTGTGTATTGTTATTGGCACACGTCTTGGATTGATGAGAATGAAACATATTTCCTCAACTAGGATTTCTTAGGACTTTTAGTATGTCGTTCTGGACACCTCATAGAAATGATCTACAGATTCTACACTGTAAAAAAATATTGTTGGTTTAACTTAAAAAAGTTAGTAACCTGGTTGTTCCTTGAACTGGAAAAAGTGAGTTAATACAATGAAGGAAAATGATTTAATCATCAGAAACTCAAAATTATATGTTATCTGAACTAAATAAAATATTTAAGTTGATTTGACAAAAGAAAAATGTTGTGATAACTACACTGTAAAAAAATATTGTTGGTTTAACTTAAAAAAGTAAGTAACCTGGGTTGCCTTAAAATTTTAAGTTGATTGAACTGGAAAAAGTGAGTTAATACAATGAAGGAGATTAATTTAATCATCAGAAACTCAAAATAATAAGTTATCTTAACTAAATAAATTATTCTAAAGTTGATTTGACAAAAGAAAATATGTTTTGATAACAAATCTTGAAAATATTTTTGGCTCCAAAATGAGTTTGCCTGGACTACCGAGGAAATGTTTTTCACCCGATGTGTCACCAAACGGAAAACATACGATATTTTCAAACAGGTTTTCGTAGCCCTCAAACCGTATTCACTTTATAGCCCTTAATCCTGTAATTGTGGACAAATGTGGGCACAGATCATTTCATTTATTATAAATGTTATATCACTGTCTTCGATAAAGTTTTGTCTATCCATTTATGGTGGTTTTTTTATTTATTTTGGAGGTATTTTTAATTTATTTACTTCAAAAAGTACCATATTTTCTATTTTAAATTATGCTTATTTTTATGTTTTATTTTTAACTACATTAAAATATCATTCCAATAAGTTCTTACAGCTAAAACCTAAAGATGAAGTGATTTTGCTGTCACCTGGTGTCTTATTTTGGCTTTTAATTACAGTTTTTTCCCATTCATTTCTATGGGTGCCCATTTTTGACCCAAATACAATATTAAGGAGTTTTTATTTCACTCTCTTAACATTGTGGAATTGTGTTCAGGAGGCAAACTTAGGAAAAGTAGCCAAGTCTTGTACCGCTCAGATCAAGGGAAGTATTTTTTTTTAAATAAATCAAAACTCTTTTACCCACATTTGTCCAGAATACAGTTTTAGGGTTAACATTGTACCTCTCTGCCATTGGTCAGCCAAACCGATAGCCACACATCAAACTTATACCATTGGTTGAGCCAAAATAAAGAAATGTTAGCTGCAGAATAATGGACAACTGGGTTGAAGGAGTTAGCATTTCTTTTTGGTGATGCTTGGCTTTACCTTTAATCCAAGACCAATGGACCATAATACCTTATAGACTGACTCTGAAAGTTTGTTTCTTCACTTTTGCTGACACTTGGAGAGAATCAGGCCAAATGTCTTCCTCTATCTGCACAGGAACAGAGTGAAAGTCCAACACACACACACCTTTCTCTGTCCAGATCTCTCTTTCTATCCCGTTCTGCATTTCTTCAGCTCTCCCTTTGGTCTCTCTCACTCCCAGTGATTCCTGATGAGCTGGAGGGTCATAAAGCTGAGCTATTGCTCGCGTTCAGGCTGCGTCTTATGATCGTACATCTACCCTTCACTCAGAAAGACCCGCTGCGCATTTAAAGCCGGCTGCTCTCCATGGTCCTGAATTCATCTCTCTTAGCCCGCAGCTCTCCATGGTGCTGAACAAGTGGCATTTAATGCAACGTCCCGTGCTGTTTTAAAGCACCAAATGCAGTTTCCAACATGCTAAAAGTGTCTGCGATGCCGTTTCAACTCAGTTAATAGCTGATATCTTAAGAGAGCCAAGTGGTGTTGTTGTTTTTTTCAACTTTAAGAGTGATGAGGTTTACAAGGTCAAGTCGAAAGTTCAAGCAAGTTTACAGATCACTGCATACAGTTTGACTCCAATTTGACTGAAAGCGAGAAGACAAAATTGTGGTAAAAGAGACAACAATTATTCGATTAAAACAGATGTTGAATGGTGAGTGATGTCGGCTAATGTGCCAGGCGTCACACTGTGAGAAACGCTTCCTATTATTCCACGGGCTTTCATTTCCACGAGGTTTGCCAAAGCTAACCCTTCTTTTATGGCATTTTACCGTCGTCGCCATCAACAAGCAGGTGCACTTATCTCAGAGTGAAATGTGGACCGATTTCGCAATCCGCCACTTTATTTTCCAGTTCTTGCATGCATAATGGTTCCTAAGAGGAAGGTCTTTTGATTTCGTGTTTGTTCACCTAAAACATTTTCTCAGCTCAGTCCGGCATCAAATGGGACATTTCAGAAAGATTGAAAACTTGAGATGACAGGAAATAAAATGGTGTTTATGTCTCGAGTGTCGGTATATCGGCTTTAAAAAGCTTCTGTTGAAGTGCCTGCACACGTCACTCGCTTTAATAGCTTTCATGATTTATCGAGCTTCTCAGGCTTGTTTATCATGGAGTCTCTTATCGACTGTATCCACTTCACTCGGCCCCTTCAAAGACTGCCGTATCCTCATTCAAGACACTTTCGTATCTCCCCGCTTTTGGATTCAGTTATTTTGTTTCTGCCAATATTTGTTTCAAAAGATTTCATAAATGTTGCTATAGAGGTGTGGCGACGCTTGAGAAAGTGATTGTAAAATGTCTCTCTTTTTCCTCATTGATGTTGCTCCGAACCGATATGACCTTGGTTTTTAAAACATGTCCAAGTATTAGATCCAATAAACGGTGAACCGTTCCTCCCCATCAGACGTCTAATTCTTCTGAACTTGTTCCTTGCCTCGGCTCGAGTGCTATAAGTGACTGTTTTCTCAAAGTGTCTCTTTCCCTGATTCATTATGGGAATGTTAGCATTTAATTGGGCAATAATTGCACCTGCACATTAGATGTCTCCCGTCATTAAAGCTGGTTAATTAGCCTCATTAAGGGAGCAGGCGGAGGGTGTAAGTGGGAACAGATGACTTCAGTAAGCAGAAATCATGATCAGAGAGGAATTTTAAATGTCCTTCCCTTCGATTCTCTGTAATAGGAGCCAGTGGGCGGCCCAGGGGCCAGCAGAAGTTCTGCAGTTTGGATGTGGATGAGGAGAAACACATAAGTGAGTGTTCTGTCTTTCCTTATCTACCTCCGTCTATCTGGAAATTAATATGTGGATAAATTCTCTTATGTGGAAGATGTTTTATTTTTGGGCGCCAAGTGGAAGATGGTAAGGAGTATCCTCAAGTACTATTTAGATATTCCTGTCTCTAAATTCTAAGTTTAGCATGGTATCTTTTCGTTCATCAGTTCTTGTTATGACTGTGGCTTAGCATATATTATATTGCTATACTTTATATTTTGGGGTAAAACTGGGACAACACGGTATTACGATAATCACAAAATAATTGTAACAAATTTTACAAATTAAAATATTTGTCAATAGCCATGTTTCTATCCAAAGTTACGAATTTAACTTGAGCGCATAATTGGAATATCGCATAATAAATTAGCGAATAAAGCACAGTTTCCATCCAGTTAGCGGAAGAGAATAAAATCGTAATTTCCTGTAAAACTGGCATTTCCCCTAAATTACTGCCGCCTCAGAGCGCACAGACAAAACACAATAAAGTTATCATGCTTTCGTAGGCGGATGCCTGCTGTTTGGGAACGCAGTCGTGTAATACAGTTCTGAGGGGTAATTATACTGAACCACTTTGACGACAGACTTTGGTCAAGCATTTTAAGATGACTAAAGCCGGATTCACATATAGCGCCTAAAAACGCGTAGAAAACGCTGGGCGCGCCGCATTCTCCATTTTCCAAAGCGCCAGGGCGGTTGCGCTTCAGTTGGTTCTTGTCACATGACCTATTGTGTGCGTATGGTGCGCTTGCGGTATTCTGAAAAGTTGAGATGTTTTTATCTCGACGCGGTGCTTCCATTATGACCGCGCATCGCTTCCATTATGAGCGCGCATACCACGCGCCTACATTTGAAATAACGAACTTGAGCGCGCAAAAGACCGGCCCTAAAACAGCATTTCAGAGGTCCGCTGGTTAGTCCAATTTGGCCGGAATCACATATAGCGCCTAAAACGCGTAGAAAACGCTGGGCCCATCGCATTCTCCTTTTTCCAAAGCGCTAGGACGTTTGCGCTCCGGTTGGTTCTTGTCACGTGACCTACTGTGCGCTTCTGACGCGCTTGCGGCATTCTGAAAAGTTGAGATGTTTTTATCTCGATGCGGCGCTTGGAAAAAATGTGCGTGTCGCACCGCGACCATGTCGCTTCCATTATGAGTGCCCATGACGCACTCCTACATTTGAAATAACGAACTTGAGAGCGCAAAAGACGCGATATGTGAACAGGCACCAGAGAATGTCTAATTGAAGAGAATTGGCACTGGCTGGTTACTTCCGGGTTCTGGACTGGCTGCAGTAACGCATCTCTGTCCATGTGGGGGCGCTCGCGGTCGAGTGCAGAATGAATAGGAGTCAATGGGGTTTCACCCCCAGAAATCCACTTTTCTCAGGATGAATTTTTTTGCCAAGTAATTTGAAAGTTGCATTCAAAAGGGAGGGCTAAGAAAATACACTCAGCTGAAAATTGCATTTTTAAGTTCACTTATCTGTTCTAAAAATCCGTTCAAAACTGTGATGACGTCGTACAATAGCAGAATGCTAGCGTGTTCCGCCCAACAACAGCCTAACCTGTAAGAAATCAAAATGACATAAGCACTCGTTCATTCGACTTTTGGCCTATAATCTATATTGAACTTGCGTAATCAACAATAAAATCTTTTTTGATTTAACGACAAGCAGGTGAAAGAGACACATTTAGCCGTTTAGCCCCATAGACTCCCATTCATTCTGCTCTCGCCCGCGATCACCTCCAGTGGAATTCTAATGGAACTGCAACCAAGATAATACACAACGGGGCTAATAGGAAGTGCCAAAGCTCTCCGTTAGACGGGCTCTGCAGGCCCTTATGCCGTCCCATCGCAAAGTCACGTCTTTTTTGATGCGCATCGAGGAATTTATTCGGTAAATTTGTTTCCATCGTAGTTTATGCGCATGTTTATGCACAGCCAATGACGCTCAGGATCTGTTGCGTACCAAATCCTCCGCCATCGTCTTGTCAGTCATCTCTCCTAACTCTTGTCACGTTATAATGAAATCTGACTCCTTCTGCTCTGTGCTACGACTCTGCAGCTTGTGCTAAATGGAGCATTGAAGCGTCCGTAAATTGTAGCGCCAGTTGTCCAACTGAACTAAATGGTTATTATTTTTATAAAAAAGTAAAACGACAGTAATGCAGTAATGGAGGCCAAGTAATGTTGGTTTTCCGCTTTTCCAACGCTCTATCAGTGAGATCCTGTTTCGTATTTTCCAATTGAATGTTGTCTTTGAGGTTACTCTGTACTAGTTCACTGTCTGTAGAGGGCATAGTCAGGAAGTTAACACCATGCCCAGGAGGACAAGTTAGTGTGGAGTTTTGAAGCATTATTTTGGGTTATTGGTTGTGTTTAAACTGTTTTGTTTGAAGATTCATCCATGGCCTCAATGTTCTGTTTGTTTTGAGCTTGTTCATTGCACTAAAGGTTTACGAATAGGGTCTTCAAGGTAAGAAGATGGGATTGCACCTTAAGACCACTGATTCCAATAGATCTCTCTCAGTTTCTTTCTGACACTGATTTAACATTATAAGCTTCTGAATCAAATGGCAAAGTTGCTTTCTCTGGACATCGTAGATGGAAACCACAACCTGGACAGATTATGAAAGAAGCCATTGGGGATCCATGGGGATTAGATTAGAAACAACTACGGCCTCGATTGTTTGACAATGATGCTCAAGAAGCACGGGTAAACACAAGAGCCAGTTTTGCCGTTGTGGAACTGAACAAGAACTCCTCTTTCTAAAAGCCTGGGTATTTTTGGTCTGGCCTAAACATTCTGTGACACAACTTGATGAGGTCCAGGCCCAACGCAGAAGAAAGCCAAGATAAATGCAGTGGAAAATGCTTGCACTCTTTCCAGTTTCCCAGGGCATTGCTTGCATCACCAAAGAATAGACATCACTAATCAGAAATTTGGGAACACCATAACGACACTTCAGCAGCAAAAATGATACGATTGTCCCAAATGAGCTTCAATTTGGATAATACTGAACTTCTGTTGGCACTGTGTATTTCAGTAGTTTCTTGTCTCTATTTTCTCTCTATACATTTATTTTCCTGAGCACCAAATGGAGTAACTTGTGCTTTTACTGCAGGATGTTATAAATGAGAATTTACCCTCATTTCCGTCAGCTTTGGCAACTGGTTGGTTTGATGTCACTTGTTTTGGTAGTTTTGCTTCTTTCCTGCAACATATTATATCGATATTTATCACATTTTCTTTTGGAAACTGTGTAAATATCTAGTAGGATCTACAAATGTATTTATTGTTAACAAGGTAAATAGCTCTCCGTGTGAAGTTAAAAATGCTTCTAAAGCAATATTAACATTTTTAAAGCCAGAATGTTACATTTTTTAGATTGTATCATTTCCATCCAGTTACAAAGAAAGATGATAGAATCTCTAAATTTTACATTTACAAGGTCCTGCACCGAAGGCATTGTAAGTTACTCTCTCTGGACATCACAGGTTCGTGTAGCATGGACGTTAAAGAAAACCGCAACCTGGACAACCTCTCCTCCAAGGAAGCGCTGGGGGAGGGGCCTCACGTAGCCAATGGGAGCACTCGGGGATTGAGCAGGAAACGCCCACTGGAGGAGGGCAATAAAGGCCACGGACACTCCAAATTCCGCCCCAAGAAGCGCAGGAAACCGCAAGGGCCGGTCTTGCCGAAAAATGCTCTCATGCAACTGAATGAAATCAAACCGGGACTGCAGTATAAACTTCTGTCGCAGACGGGGCCGGTACACGCACCCGTGTTCGTTATGACCGTCGAGGTCAACGGACAATTGTTTGAGGGCTCCGGCCCAACAAAGAAGAAAGCCAAACTGAATGCAGCCGAAAAAGCACTGCGCTCTTTTGTTCAGTTCCCCAATGCATCCGAAGCTCATCTCGCGATGGGTCGCACGCTGACCGTTAACACGGACTTCACCTCGGATCAAGCTGATTTCCCGGACATGCTTTTTAACGGTTTTGAGACGCCCGCACAGCCCGATGAACCCTTCTACCTGAGTCTCGGCAGCAATGGGTCTGTCTGCTCTCTAAACAAATACCCTCTCTATGTGACTCTGAAAAACAACAACAGGTTACATCCTTCTCTCCCACTACCCCCTGCACTCACAACGCCCCCTACAGGCAGTGGCAAGAATGCAGTGATGATCCTAAATGAGCTTCGGCCGGGACTGAAGTATGAGTTCGTGGCAGAGAGCGGTGAAAGCCATGCCAAGAACTTCATAATGGCAGTTACAGTGGATACGCAGATCTTCCAAGGGTCCGGCCGGAATAAAAAACTGGCGAAATCGAGGGCAGCCCAAGCGGCATTGTCAGGTCTCTTTAACATGCAACTGGACCAGACGCCATCTCGACAGCCAATCCCCAGTGAGGGACTTCAGCTACACCTGCCTCAGGTGAGAACTGAGAACCCCGTTTTTCTTTTTTATAAGGGGTTGTCATTTACAGTACTTTATATGGCAGCTTGTTTCCACCACTGGATTAAAAAAAATTTAAAAAATAATTGCGACTTATCTCACAATTGCGTGATATAAAGTCAGAATTGCGAGATATAAAGTAAGAATTGCGAGATATAAAGTCAGAATTGCGAGATATAAAGTCAGAATTGCGAGATATAAAGTCAGAATCACGAGATATAAAGTCAGAATTGCGAGATATAAAGTCAGAATTACGAGATATAAAGTCAGAATTACGAGATATAAAGTCAGAATTGCGAGATATAAAGTAAGAATTGCATGATATAAAGTCAGAATTGCGAGATATAAAGTCAGAATTGCGAGATATAAAGTCAGAATTGCGAGATATAAAGTCAGAATTGCGAGATATAAAGTCAGAATTGCTAGATATAAAGTCAGAATTGCAAGATATAAAGTAAGAATTGCGTGATATAAAGTCAGAATCACATAATTGCGAGTTTATATGTTGAAATTCTGACATTTTTTTCTCAGAATTGTGAGACATAAACTCGCTATTGCGAGTTATCAGGCCAATTCTTTTTCCCCCCTCAGAATATTTTATATCTCACAATTCTGACTTTATAACACGCAATTGCGACTTTATATCGCGCAATTCTGACTTTATATCTCAAAATTCTGACTTTATATCTCGCAATTCTGACTTTATATCACGCAATTCTGACTTTATATCACGCAATTCTGACTTTATATAAATCAATCATGACTTTATATCTCGCAATTCTGACTTTATAACACGCAATTGCGACTTTATATCATGCAATTCTGACTTTATATCACGCAATTCTGACTTTATATCTCGCAATTCTGACTTTATATCTCGCAATTCTGACTTTATATCTCGCAATTGCAACTTTATATCTCGCAATTCTGACTTTATAACACGCAATTGCGACTTTATATCATGCAATTCTGACTTTATATCACGCAATTCTGACGTTATATCTCGCAATTCTGACTTTATATCTCGCAATTCTGACTTTATATCTCGCAATTCTGACTTTATATCTCGCAATTCTGACTTTATATCTCGCAATTCTGACTTTATATCTCGCAATTCTGACTTTATATCTCGCAATTCTGACTTTATATCTCGCAATTCTGACTTTATATCTCGCAATTCTGACTTTATAACACGCAATTGCGACTTTATATCATGCAATTCTGACTTTATATCTCGCAATTCTGACTTTATATCTCGTAATTGCGACTTTATATCTCGCAATTCTGACTTTATATCTCGCAATTCTGACTTTACATCTCGCAATTGTGAGAAAAAAAGTCAGAATTGTGAGATAAAAAGTCGCAATTACCTTTTTAATTTTTCATTATATGACGGAAACAAGCTTCCATAACTTTCCCCTTTGACATGACCAACACACAGCAGCTAAATACAGTCGTCACTCTTCTGAAATAACTTTTTTCATTTAATGTCTACGATTATTTTTATAAATATTACCATGTCAAAATGACCTGTCAAAACTACCTCATATAATGGGCTAAGACTATTGACTACACCATAAATGAATTAATTTCATTTCCATAAGACCACATACATTGGACCTGTCATGCATTTTATCAAGCTTGATATTGAAAAACCAGTTTTAATGCGATTAAATGCTATGCTTGGGTAGCTTTGCTTAACCATCATTTGTCCTTTATAAAGCTTCTGCCAGTCTTCATTTAACAATTTTAATTAAATCAGAATCTACACACGAACGTTTCAGTTGGATTTCAGATGAAGTCAAGCATTAAACCTTTAATCGGTGCGCCAGTGTACACAGCATTATTTACACATTAGCTAATCCTGTTCATAATCCCTCCCATCCCCCCTTGATAACAAGCGAAGAGAATAAACAGAATCTTAATTAAAATCAGATACAGGAGCACTTCTCAAACAAGAAAACGCAAAATCTTTCAGTCTGTCAGTCAAGCAATTCATTTCTTTTGAGATCGAGCATTAAAGACACGTTTTGTCAGCCATTTTCAGTTTCAAAGTAACAACTTCATGTATTGTTTTGAATTAGGAATTTACACAAATACGTTGTGCGTTTTGATAGAGATGTTTGTAAAGTTAAGGTTGTGGGTTCCACAGGTCCTCGCAGATGCCGTCTCTCGTTTAGTTGTGGAAAAGTTCAGCGAGCTGACTGACAACTTCACGTCTCCACATGCACGGCGGAAAGTCCTTTCAGGTGTTGTCATGACAACCGGTAAGCACACGTCTGATAGGAACGTTGATCTAGAAACATCATGTTCTTTTTGGCTAATTCTCGTCGACCATTTATCAGGTACGGATGTGAAGGATGCTCAGGTGATTTGTGTCACCACGGGAACCAAGTGTATAAACGGAGAGTACATGAGTGATCGAGGACTAGCTCTTAACGACTGCCATGCTGAGATCATCGCACGCCGTTCTCTCCTCAGATACCTGTACAGTCAGCTGGAATACTTCCTCAGGTAACGCACACACACACACTTGCGTCTTATAAAATGCAATAATGTATTTTTATTAGAGCCCGAACGATAAAGGATTTTGAAGGCCGATGCCGATACAAATATTTGTTGGTTTTAAAATACGATATTCCGATATATCGGCCGATGTTTTTATTTATTTCAGAAACTCGTTACAAAACATTAACAGATTTCCCTAACATTACTTATTTGTAGTTCTTTATGAGTTTTAACTAAAATAATATGATAATGCATTTTAAAAAGAAACTTGTGCCCTCTGGTGGACAAACTATACAACTCCAACACTCATGACATGGTTGAAGCGTGTTTCGTCCGTTTTTATTTTATTTTTGTAATATTAATTTATCGGCCATTATAACTGCCGATACCGATAGTTTGGAAAATGCCTAATATCGGCCGATAATATCGGCCTGCCAAAAAAACGGTCTCTAATTTTTATTGAATGAATGTTTTATAAATAAATAAAATATAAATGTGTGTATATATACAATGTGTATATATATATATATATATATATACTTACATAAAAGCATGCAAATATATAAATTTGCATGCTGTTATGTAACGGTTGTCATTTTAATGTTAATTTAATGTGGTAAAAATTTTACATAATTAATAAATACATAAATTATATATAATATAATTTTTGGGTGCTTGCAAAACTGTCTAATAATGCTTTATTTTGTAATCATTAAGAATTAACATCATTCACACTAGCCTGTGGATATGCAAAATTATTTTACGTGCGTGTAATCAATTAGACATGACCTTTTATTCACTGTGAAATAATAAATGACAGATTTGATGAGATGGGTGTCAGGCCAAGGACCTATTTTCAATTATAGACATTTCAAAGCCCTTTTAATGGCCTCTGTTGACATCATAGATCACACAAGTGTGTGTGTGTGTGTGTGTTTTCTCTATAGCGACAGCACTGAAGAACATGAGAAATCCATATTCAGATGGTGCAGTGAACATGGCTACCGGCTAAAAAACGATATTCAGTTCCATCTGTATATCAGCACGTCGCCCTGTGGAGACGCCCGGATTTTCTCCCCTCATGAGGCTGCTGCCGAAGGTATGTCATTTTTTTCTGACGGATGGATGGATTCGCACATTTTGTTGTTGCACTAAAATAAGGACGGGCTTTTAAAAAGTAGTAAACTAAACTTTTCTTTGTAGACCAGGGTGATCGGCATCCAAACCGCAAGGCCCGTGGACAATTGCGAACCAAGATTGAATCTGGAGAAGGTACTATACCCGTCCGTACGAGTAACACCATTCAGACCTGGGATGGAGTCTTGCAAGGAGAGCGACTGTTAACTATGTCATGTAGCGACAAGATTGCAAGGTATGGTGCCATCAATAGCGAAATTAAGTAGAACTGTGAACCATGAACATTGTTTTAATACAAAATATGTGTTCTCAATTGCTTCTCTTAAATTAATTTATTCTAAGTTAGCATATAGTAGAAGTGGTGATTTTTCGAATGATCCTTACATCCGAATGAAACGGCTTCTCGAACAAGAAAAACATGTAGGATGTGGCTTGATTTTGTCCATGGGAAATTGACTGGATGGTTGTGGTTAGATTAATTTATAATAAATACTGCAATATTCCATAATAAACAAGTGGAAAAGTTGACATTTGTAACCTATTAAATTCCAGAAAAAAATAGAGTGGGACTTGTTTTTATCCATCAGGAAATGTTTGAATTGTGTGTTTTAAGGGGTGGGATTGAAAAATAAATGTGGTGCATTGATTAATTTAAAGATATATATATATTTCAAATATTATAATTATGCAAATTACAAGTTTGTCTTTGCAATAGATGTGAACTTTAGTGGGGGCACATCTATTTGATTTGTCCTTCTCATGTTTTAGCTAAACCCATTTCTTTTTGATTTCCATCTTGGAAGTATGCACACAAGGTTTAGTCAACTTTTTCAATGTAAAACACGGCTGAAGCTTCAGTTGATGATTCACATTGAGAGAGAAAAAAGCTGCAGACATCAGGTGGCCCACTTTTGTGTCGACACCTATCCTTGATCCGCTCAATGTCGAAGTCCTCCAATGACAGTCTCACTTTTTTCCTGTTGCGCTCAACCTTTAATGAGTCCATCTCGTTAGCATTCTGTCGCATGCATCCAGCGGCTCTCAGAAAGCAGCTGATTGGCTGTCTTCTTGGCTCTGAAACCCCAATCACTTCAGCTCTCTCCAGAGCGGAGGGCTCCCTGGAGCAGGGGCATTTGGACCCTGATTAGGACTCTGATTATGGCCTCCAAAAAACAGCCGCCCTGCTGAGGGAAGCCTGCTGCCGCGCACACATCCGCATGCCTTATGTTGGATGCCAAGAATCCCACTCCAGTTAAACGCGATCGTTATCATCCAGCTGTGAGCTTGGGCTTTTGGAGAGCTCGGATCTCATGCGTCACCTTTGGAAAAAAACTCCTTTTAAAGGCCTTGAAGAAATTACAGTGATTGAGATTATAGACCCCAGGTGTTATTTTTCCGATCGTTTCAATGGTTGCCGTAAATGCGTCTCTGCGCTAGTGCTTTTTCTTGAAATCAAGATGTTGTTTCTTTCCTTTGTGGCTTGTTCTGCAACATAACCATCATGCTGTATGTCCACAGGGGGTGACTAATTTTGAACCGCTTACATGCGTTTCCTTATATTATCAATGAACGAGGTTCACCAGGTGCACACCTGTATTTTCAATAATGTTTCCGTGTTTTCTTTCTGCCTTTGCAGATGGAACGTGATTGGAGTGCAGGGATCTCTTCTGAGTTACTTTTCAGAACCCATCTATTTTTCCAGTTTAATTTTGGGAAGTCTGTATCATGCCGACCATCTTTCCAGAGCCATGTACCAGCGCATCTCAGACATGGAAGATCTGCCCCCACCGTTCACCCTTAACAGACCCCTTCTTAGTGGTATGATCTCGAATGAATAAATGGTTGATTTTATCAGTTTTTCAGCTATTTGCCCAACCACGTTTGTTTCTTCTCTCATCTGCAGGTATTAGTAACACAGAAGCAAGGCAACCTGGGAAAGCTCCCAACTTCAGCGTCAACTGGACGGTTGGAGATCAGGGGTTGGAGGTCATTAACGCTACCACTGGGAAAGATGACCTTGGAAGACACTCTCACCTCTGCAAACATGTTCTCTACAGTCGCTGGGTCTGTCTGCATGCCAAGGTAAAGCATTTCTTTAAAGGTGGATGATAATGGATTACGGAAGCGTATTGCATTCACTTGAGGAGTAAAAAATCGACTCTGTTTTTCTGAATTAACGAGTTAATTATCTCAGAATTATGAGATAATTTTTCATGGAAAAACTTTTTTGCTTTGTTTACATTTACATGTTAACAACATTATGAGTAAGTCATTTATTCATAAAAACAGAGTGAAAAAATGTTTTTTTCATGGAAAAATATCTCGTAATTCTGAGAATTCATTCGTTATTTCAGAAAAACAGGGCAAAACATTTTTTTCATGAAAAAATATTTCGTACTTCTGAGATAATTAACTCGTTAATTCAGAAAAACAGAGCAAAAACTTTTTTCCCTTGAAAAAATATCTCGTAATTCTGAGATAATTAACTCGTTAATTCAGAAAAACTGAGCAAAAACTTTTTTCCATGAAAAAATATTTCGTAATTCTGAGATGATTAACTTGTTAATTCAGAAAAACAGAGCAAAAACTTTTTTCCCATGAAAAATTATCTCGTAATTCTGAGATAATTAACACGTTAATTCAGAAAAACTGAGCAAAAACTTTTTTCCATGAAAAAATATCTCGTAATTCTGAGATAATTAACTTGTTAATTCAGAAAAACAGAGCAAAAACTTTTTTCCATGAAAATTATCTCGTAATTCTGAGATAATTAACTCGTTAATTCAGAAAAACAGAGCAAAAACTTTTTTCATGAAAAAATATCTCATAATTCTGAGATAATTAACTCATTAATTAAAAAAAAAACAGAGAAGATTTCTTTTCCTGAAGTGAATGCAATATGCTTCCGCAATGGATAAATCAAAACAATCAAGTATTAATTTTTAAATAATATGGTAACTTGGAATTTTAAAATGCCAATATCCATTTACCTCTCAGCTCAGTGAGACTCTGCGGATCCGAGGATCTCGTCCGGGCTCCTACCACGAGGCAAAACAAGCGGCAGTGGACTATCACGCAGCTAAACAAGCTCTCTTCAAAGCTTTCAACATAGCGGGACTGGGAGCGTGGGTTGAAAAGCCCATCGAACAAGACCAGTTTTCCCTCACCCCTTAAGATAAACCGAGAGAAAGGGATTGTCTGCAAAAGATCTTTTGTACATTTACATGGAATGCAAGGTTTTAATCTAACCTCCAATGTTGTCACTTTTTTTGCTTCTGTTATTATTGCAAGTCGCTCATTTTCTTATCTATAATAACATGTTTATGTTCACTCAGAAAATGGCTGGCTTAAAAAGAACCCAACTGGAAACTTGGTGCTGGGTAAAAAGCTAGACAACATGTTGCGCTAAACAAACCCACACAGTTAACCCTATTGACTATGGCCACATAGTATACATTTGAAAACAACGTTTTTATTTCAAAGAGTTCCCTGTCCACACTAGCGTTTTCCAAAAGTTGCTCATCCATCCCCATTGAAACGTCTGAAAATGCTTAAATCACATTACTACAGAGCAGACTTAAAAAGTTGTACGTCCAAGTCGCAATCAAATTATGTCATTATGTTTTGCCGCAGGACAACAATTGCGTGTACATTTTCAGTCATCTTTGTAGGAATGCAGTATGAAGACTGTACATACAGTATATGATATATAGCAGGCACACAATGCCTATCATCATATGGTATAACCATAGATATCAATCGATACAATATGCGTAAACGTGTCATCGTTTTCAAATACCTCAGTTTTTACAATCAACACTACAACGCAAAAACAGCGTTTTAAAATGTATCCACTTGCGAGTGAGTTTTCAAAAAGCTCCGTCTTTGTTGAAAAAATAAAAACAAAAACGCTGTATTAAAGGGTTAGTTCACCCCAAAATTATTCAAGGCCAATATCTGATTAACCAGTCCATGCGTAGCTAAAAATAATCGAACAAAAATACCCAACTCTGCATTTAGGTAAAATCAAATAACCCAGCATTTTTAAGAGTTTTTTTATTTGTAAATGTATTTCTATGTGTATGTTTTTGTCTAAAACAATATTTCCGCTTAACTGTAATTGTAACAATTTAGTTTTCCGTTTAAATTGATTATTTTGTCACCCAATTTCTCTTTTAATGTTAAGAACGCAAAACTATTTTATTGACTAAATGACACTAATCACTAGCCTGGTTAAAACCAGACCATTCTCAGTTGTAACTGAGTTATGGTCGAGCAAATCGTCATAGACGAATCATTTCCAGAGGGGCGTCACCAACGGACGTCGTGGGTATGGTTCGACCTAAAACCAATCAGAGCGATGAAGGAGATAACGTATGCAGAGCGGCGGAGAAACATCGTCGAGTGTTGTTCTTTGCTCAGTTTTTAAAGGGTTAGTTCACCCAAAAATGAAAATTAAGTCATTAATTACTCACCCCCATGCTGTACCAACCCCGTAAGACCTTCGTTCATCTTCGGAAAACAAATAAAGATATTTTTGATTAAATTTGAGAGCTGTATAACTACCACATTGGCTCCTAAGGGACTGCCTCTTGACGGTCCAGAAAGTCAATGAAGAAAATGTTTAAATATTCCAAGTGACTACCGTGGCTCAACTATATGTTTATCAAGCGACGCGAATACTTTTTGTGCGAAAAAACAAACAAAAATAACGAGTTTATTCGACTATTTCTTTTCTTCCTTGTAGGCCAGAAACGAGATTTGCTTAGATTTCCACGACGCATGCGCGAGAATTGCGATCTGAAGTAGTGTAAGCAGATAGCAATTCTCGCGCATGCGTCGTGGAAATCTAAGCAAATCTCGTTTCTGGCCTACAAGGAAGAAAAGAAATAGTCGAATAAACTCGTTATTTTTGTTTGTTTTTTCGCACAAAAAGTATTCGCGTCACTTGATAAACATATAGTTGAGCCACGGTAGTCACTTGGGATATTTAAACATTTTCTTCATTGACTTTCTGGGCCGTCAAGAGGCAGTCCCTTAGGAGCCAATGTGGTACTGTAGTTATACAGCTCTCAAATTAAATCAAAAATATCTTTATTTGTGTTCCGAAGACGAACGAAGGTCTTACGGGGTTGGTACAGCATGGGGGTGAGTAATTAATGACTTAATTTTCATTTTTGGGTGAACTAACCCTTTAACAAAAAGGAAACGCTCAAATCGCTTAAAAACAGACGCGATAGCTGATTCGAACGAGTGATGTTCGACGGCGGCGGCCATCTTTGTAATGTATCCCAGTGCTGTCGTCATCGTGTAAACCCCCGCCCCAACGTTTCTGATTGGTGCCGCGATTTCTGCGGACTGGAAATGGGTCTTAATGAGCTCTTTGCCAGACTAACTTTCAGAGCAAATCTAAATTTGCCGGACGTTATCTGGGTTTTCCCAGGCTAACTAATCACTATGTCATCAGAAATTTGATCAATCAGATTGAGACTGAGGACTGAAGTGGTACAGGGATTTGATTATCAGATGTTTTTCAATAATTGTAATTATGTAAATACTAAATTACGGTGTTACAGATTCCAGAAAACTGCTTTGGATTTCATATCGATTACTTTGGTCTTTCCCCAAATGGCCATTCTGTGTGGATTTGTGTTCTTGTTTGCATGTGTTCATCAAGTACACAAGTGTTTTGAAGCCACAGTGTACACTTTTGCAAAGCACTGTTTTTTTTGCATTACCAAAGTGTGGACTTCTCAGAAGACTGAGAGCAACATTTAGGGGCGGGTCTTTATTGTTTTTATTGGATTTTGTTTGTCTCGGCTCAGCTAGAATTATTATAAACTCTAGAATTCAACCTAGTTGTGTCCATACAAGAAAATTCCCATGATGCCACAGATTCGGTTTGAACAGGTTCTGCCGGGCCGGAATCAGAAGTTGCTTTAAGTGCTGCATCCAAGCAAAGACTGAAACGCTGCATGAGTTTGAATGAAAGGACAGGCTGTACTGTACGAAAAAAAAAAAACGTCACAATCTTCGTGGTTTACTTTGGCCTTGTGATTCTCAAATAACTCCAAGCATAATGGACCCTGAGAAAGGTTTTTCTTATAATCCTGAAAGTTGTGTTTAATTTCCAATAAATAGCATTGTGTGCAATTGTAGCGACTTTTGAAAGTTTTTCAATACCCAAACAATTTAATTAGGGATTAAAAAGCATTATCAGGGTTCTGCGTTCTTAAGAACAAAAGAGTTTCAAGTGGATTCGTTTCTTGAATTCTAATTCCACTAAATTATGACCTTTTGTTTACCCGTAATAGCGACAGGCAAAATGAAGCGATTAGCGGTGTGGTAATCGCAGTGACTAGAGTGAAATTGTGTTTATCTGAGCTCGCAGGCTCGTTGTGCCGGATTGGGCTTTGAACAATGGCACTTTCGTCTAAAGTGCTTTTATCCGTGACTCCTTTAATTCAAATTCTGGAGTGTTTTCTCTCTTTTTACATTAACATTTATCAGCTTTGAGTCCTAAAAGCATGTTTGCATCCTGTTACAAGAGTGTTTTTACAGGCTTACAACTCATTTTAATCAACGATTTTCCAATATTGTATCAAATAATACACTTTGTCTGTGTCCGGTTTGTGTTTTCTGTTGAGCTCTACATGTCTGTTTAACCTATAGAATTTATAGCTGTATATTATTAGTATTATTTTTTTTATTTGTTTGTCACTGATTAATCCATTAATCTCATTTTGAGTTTTTGACTAAATCGGTAAAATCATTTTAAGCACCAAATTATTTTCACTTTTTTTTTTTTTTTTTGTAATTTCACTGCAAAGATGCAAAGAAGTATGAACTATATTTTCCCATATACAGTACAAACTAAAGTTCAGACAGGAGTCTATACTTTGTATGAAAGTAGAGAATGGTTTCTGATAATAAGTACAAACCTGTGGCTTCCCTCTCACAGCTGTCCCACTTCTACCCATGGTGCATCGGGCCATATCAGCTCTCCGCACCTGTGCAAGGTGAGAAAGTGGGAGATAATCCCGGCACGGATTTGCCTCATCTCTGCGCTTCACAGAAACCTGGACAAACAAAATAAAGTAACCTTATCGGTCATCAAAACTTTAAAAACTTCCCCCATCTGTCGGCACCATCTTTAGCTTTAGAGAACTTCCAGTGCGAGAAGAAGAAAGCTGCCGTCCGTTTGTGTGAACTGTGTGGATGTATTTACGGTTTAGGGAAAAAACAAGAGATTTGCGGATGATTTTCAGGGTTCGATCAGACTCGAGGTGAGGCAGGATTAGCGTTAGACGCCTTTCATGGCTTCCAGCTTCAACCTTTATCTCCAAATTGCCTTTCAGGAGGTGAAGTGTGTAAAAAGAGAAAAGCTGTGCTCTTTCTGCCCTTGTCGTTGGAGTCATAGTGGTGCGTTTCACTCCACTTAAACAGTTTTTGTTGAGCGTAATTTCGAGGCATTGTATGCGAGCAAAACATGTCGGTTGTTTTGGTTGCCTCAAATGTGAGATAAGATGATTTGAAGTGTGAAATAAAAATGTCACAGGCTTTTTGATGAAAACGTTTTACCTCAAAGAAAATTGACTCAAGTACTTATGACCGAAAACTCAGACAAAGCACGCAAAGTTCAATTTGTATTTCACAGAGCTAAAATGAGAGTTAAAATACATAAACATTTCAATTTATGATAACTTTAATTTATAAGTCGATAACAATCATTAAGTTTCAGCTTGCCTTTTAGTCAAGTTCTAGACCAAATCAGTGATGAATGAGTTGGCCTACACTGTTGTGATAACATTGATTTGGCAGTGTCTTTAATCCAGAAACCTCTGCACCTTGATTCATTTGTCACAGCCCATTTATTCCTTCGATGTGCCGCCATTAAACTACTTAATGGACCTTCCGGGCCTTTTAATGTCAACAGACCGGAGAACAACGGACACCATCTTACCTGAGTTAATGGAGCATCGTGAAACTTTCACCTGCTGCTGAAAACATGATCTACCTGCTCAACATGTCAGGATGAAGAAATTAAGGGCTTGGAGCCAGAAGGGCGTAAGAGGCTTTTAACAAACTTTACAGGTTTGTTAAACTTTTCAAAAAGTCAAATACGTCAGATACGCCTTTTTGTTGCTTTATTCTATACAGTATGATCTCAGATAGGTATTTTTGGCACCATTGGATAGAGCTCATCGAGACCTTTATTTTGATATAAAGAACTCATATTCGCCCAAAATGCCACTTTCGCCCCTCTGGCTCCAAGCCCAGAAAGTACAATCAAATGTGAAATGTACCATGGTTTTACTACAAAAAACCAAACATGGTTACCTAGTAGTTAACTAGGTAGTTACCTAGTAGTAGCCTAGTAATTTAACCGTTGTTTTGCTACACTGACCGTCCATAGTTTCATGATAGTAAAGCTATGCTCTCATAAATGGTAATCAATCCACCAAAAAAAAAAAAACCATGGTTAGCCTACACTTTTACAACTTACCAGGCTACAATAAAACCATGTTTAATTCTCATATTGCACCAAAAAAAAAAATGAATAAGTTAGTAAATTAACAGTACACAATCTCTGCCATCCACTGACTGTTTGAAGAAGACCTGGCTGATATTAATTCATTATGATTTTACACTAGTGATAATAATTGAAATAACTTTGGAACTTTTGACAATCGTGTAGTTAGGCAATTTTCACATTTTCAGCGGCAAAGACATATTTCGCCTCATTGATTGTGATAACGTTAACCGTTTTTTTGTTGTTGACAATTTATATCGCGTATAATCTAATAAATCTTACTCAGAACCATTATTTTACGCAGGTTTTTTACTTACGTAATTTCTTCTTCATCAATCCTTCAAGGCGGGAATTATCATCGCGCGTGTTCGTCTCTTCGAAACATTTCCATTTGTAAAACATGATGTTGGCCAAATGGCCTTTTAACCTTTGTAACACATATCTATCTTACCTGAATTTGTAATTTGATTTAAATTTGTATTAGATAATTATAAATGCATGCTACTTTACTGATGTGAAAATATTTAGTCAAGTAATTTTGCTACATATGCTGCTGCTGTTTGAAATCTCTCTCTCTCTCTCTCTCTCTCTCTCTCTCTCTCTCTCTCTCTCTCTCTCTCTCTCTCTCTCGTCCTATTTTCAGATAGAGATGAGGGAATAATCTGATTTTAATGGCCAAATATTTCATACATAAATGTCGATTTCTTAAAACATTCCCTGTTTTAATGCCTTTCTAAATGATATAATTCTGTATAAACAATCCCTGAAATGCTGTAAAACAAAAAAGCCCTAATTTTTCATGAATACTTATGCAAACTTATTTCCTAGTGTCTACTGCTGAGTCTCTTGGTTTCTCTCTTTTTTAGTTATTTATTTTGTTTTATTATTATTTAGTTATTTTTTATTATTGCTATTTTTTTTCTTTTACAATATTGTACTCCATGTTCAATTCATGTGCCTTGTTGTATGTTTGATAAGATTCAATAAAATAATAATAATAATAATAAAATTTTAAAAAAAGATAGAGATGAGATAAATCTCTAATATTTGCGTGCTGACCTTCACCCGCAGGTGAGTTTGCCCTTTCCAAACCATGGCTGCACCACACTACGTGTATATGTCTATGGCACACTACAAGAAGGGCGACACGAGATGCCATACAGAATCCGTCAATGAGATTAGAGTCTCAATAAATGCTGTCTGTTAAAATTGATTATGGAACAGGTCATGTTTGCATTTTATGTCAATTTTCAATTTCTACTATTATCAAACAAGGCATTTCCCCCTATACATTCCAACTGTTTTTTTTTTTTAGTATTATTGAATAATTAACAAATATAAATATTATAATTAAATATTGTACGATGCATTTCCATAATATAAAATAATACCCATAGACAGTAAAAGAAATACCCATATAATTATTACCCAGATAATACCCACCTTTAATGGTTATGCAGCCCTCTAGTGGACACGAGTACTAGCTACATGCCAGTTTTTAAAGAGGGAAACGTCAGTCCTGAGGCGCAAACAACGTAATGGGCGTGGTTTAGTCATTCTGTCCTCCTATTGGTCTAAAGACGGGAAGTGTTTCGTCCGTCAGTTTCCGCTGTTATTTGAAACCGTTTTGAAACAATAAACAGTGTTGATCCGTATATAAAATGATAAATTAAAGGCGTAATAGGTTAGTACTTAACCATCAGTGTTTTAAGGTATGGTTTAAATGAATTTTGTTGGAAATGTTTTACTTAAATGTAATTCAAGCCGCATTTGTATACACCGTTTTTCCTGCAGTGTTTCTAGACTGCTCATTTTGTGTTTGTTTACCATGGTAATACCATGTTTTTGGGCATTGCAGTATCATATTTTGCCATGGTATTGAAATAATATACTTTTATTAAATAGTACTAACTTCCTTTACTTCCAAGAATACTGTATGGTTGCAGTTGAGTTTATTTTTTGTTAGTATGTCTTTGAACACTAGTCTTGGATGTCTTTTAGTATGTCTTTTAATTCACAAATACAATAATACCATTGTATTCCCTGAAGTATTCGCGTTTAATACCATATCTAACACAAATTGACAAACAAAATGTCACTTTAACCAATGGATGTGTGTAAATGCATGCATTACAAACTAAACATGCATCTGTTTTCTTACAGGGTTTCAGCTCAGGATGGAGCAGGTGAGCAGTCTCTCTTTCCATCATGTCCTTATTGTTCTATCTGATAGTAGGGATAGAAATCCGATCTATGTCGGTTCCCTCCACCTGTTGTGGTTGGATAGAGGGGGGTTGCAGTGCTGATCAGGTTGAAGGAAAGGTGGAAGTCACAAGAAGATGCTTAAAATAGTGTTGTAGCTTTTCATGATAAAGATGGATAGAAAAGCTTTGACTACAGCATTGCAGTCCAGGGACAAAACATATGTATTTTTGTGGACCTACAGCCAGTTTCAGGTAGCAGAATTGAGACTATTCAGTTACTTTTGCCGTTATTTCGGATGTTTCAGCATGCATTAGTTTATGACATGAGGTCACATGTAATAATGCATGTGAATATAACATGATGCAATGCTCTTGCAGCAGGAGCAGAGAGAGTGGGATGCTGTGAACAGGTTGCTGCAGCATCATGGGTTCAAACCTGTCAACTTTGCAGATCCAACAGAGAACAAGAACCTCGCAGGTAATGTTTAAAGAAATATCACTGATGTGTTCTTGTGGTGTATGAATATTTATGTGTTTAAAAAATCAAGGCTATGTAAATTAAAACGTTTAGATGCTTGATTTCTTTTGAAGAAAATAATAAAATTATAGATATTTTTGTGCTGATTTAAGGCTAATAGTTGTGTAGTAAACATAGGGTTTTAATATATTTAATTTATTAAATAATAATAAAAAAAACAACAACAACATACTAAAACAATGTAGATGTATAATATCAGTTATCTTTCAGGCTACTGACCAAATAAATACATATTAATTATCAGTGTTGACCAACATTTCTGTGATGTTGTTTGTTTTTTTGTCTAGATTTGGTTTTGTTAGACCGCAAGTCTGCTTCTGACTTCCGCATGATGTTGAAGACTATGCTGTCGGATTCTGAAAGGAGACAAGGTCTAATTCAAGAGCTCATTCAGTCCAACAGCCAATTAAAGTGAGTCCAGCATTCACAGATGCATAATTAATATGCTTTAATATGTTTATATATTGGGTTATGACACAACTTACGTATGTTTAGTAGAGTGAATTTCACAATACCTGTTACCATATCCAGGTCAAGTACAACATTATATTTTGCATAAAGCAAGTGAAGCTAATGCCAAAATGTCTATTTTTCATAATTAATATCAGTCAAAAGACTATACAATATCGACTGTCATTTTGTTTATTGACCATAACCGAGAAATAATTAATAAAATAATAATTAAAATAGTTACAGGAAAAAAAAAAAAAATATATATATATATATATATATATATATATATATGAAAATTATATATGAATATTAAATCAATCTTACATATATATATATATATATATAAAATAATTTCAATACTATATTACAGGTTTTTTTATTCATTGCGGTGATGATATTTTCAAAGAAATATGTGCTTTTATATTTTATATGAAAATAATGTCACATTAAAAAAAAATCTTAGGTCTCTTAAAAGTAGACTTTGTTTTCTTTATGCAAAATATAATTTTTGGAGCCTTTACAAATGTTTTCACTGCAACATTATTTTTATGACAATTCTCATTACCGTAATGCAAAAAAAAGTTTTTATCCACCATGGTGACATATGTTGTACTGACTTTAAGTCATGTTGATTTTGATAATAAATATGATGATGATGATATTTTCAAAGAAAGATGTGCTTTTATATTTTTTATGAAAATAATGTCACAATAAAAAATCGCTGGTAAGTAGACTTTGTTTTCTTTATGCAAAATATAATTTGGGGGTGAAATATGACCTCGACACTAAGTATTACTTTACATACACATGTTTTTTTACTCCTTTCTTGATTGACATTTCATCATAGACTCTTTAATATTTGAATTGTTTAGCACATGTTGTTTCTCCAGGGAGGCTCCTGGACAAACACATGCTCAATAATGTAAACGATAGTGGTGCTGACCACCTGCTGTAATGTGATATAATCCGAGATGTGTAGGGATATGAGATCAGCTGACAGGACAGACGTGTTCCCAGCTCATTCCATAACACCGCTGATCTATGCCAACTGGAAGTGCAAACACTAGCAGATGCTAAGATGCTTTCGTCATTTTCAGAGAGGAAGTGAAGCAGCATCAGACGCGAGCCGCCCAGCAGTCTCAGAGGGCTGTCGAGCTGGAGGGCATCCTGGATGGGGTGAAGGTCAAAGTTCAAGACTTAGAGGACTCATACATCAGTAAAGCGGCCCAACAGCACGGCCAGTTCCAACAGCTGCAACAGGAAAAGAGAGATGCTGAGGTATTCATGCATTTAAGGTGCAGTAAGCGATTTATAAGAAACACCCAAAACAAACACACAATGCAAGAGTGGAAGTCTCTTTATCAAGTCTCAAATCTCACTTTCTCACTCTCTCTCCTACCCCATCATGAGTGGACACACCCTCTACTGCTGATTGGCTACAAGTGTGTTTTGGTGCTTGGCCTGATCCACTTTTAACAGCGTTTCTCAGAAATTGCTTACTGGACCTCTAATAAACCTGCTTTTTAGTTATCAGAATTGTCCATTAAAAACTGGTGTTTTGTGTGTTTGTGTGTCCGTGCAGAAGCGCTGTCAGTCTCTGGAGCAGAAGCTTTCTCAGGAGAAGGAGCAAGTGTCTCATCTGCAGAAGAAGCTCCAGTACGTTGTGAAGGACGAGGAGAGACGTGTGACCCGCCAGAACCAGGCTTTCCAACAGATCCACCGCAGATCAGCCCGACACAACTCCACCAGCGACCAGCAGTGAGTGCCAAAGAGGATCATGGGATTGGCTGTGTGTTTATGGCATGGAAATTCATACAATCTTAAAAATGTTATAAGACATTTCTATTTTACTATTATTATTATTATTATTTTAATTTATATATATATATATATATATATATATATATATATATATATATATTATTCAATATATTATTTAAATTAGAATTGTTTTAGTAATTGTGAACAACTCAGTCATTGGTCAAAAGTATTCAAAGAATTAGAATTAGAATTTCTAAATGTTCTAAAATAAATAAGTAATAAATCTCTCTCTTTATATAAATGCGAACGTTTAAAAAAATTGATTTTATTTTTGAATTAGATTTTATTTGAATTATATTGTGTTTTAATTTATAATTTATAAATCGCTCAGTTATCTCTCATAATTCTTATTTTTTGTATTTATTATATTTATTATTTTAATCGATTTTTGTTTATGTATTTATTATTTAAATTAAATTTGTTTAGTAATTGTGGAAGTCATTAGTCACAAGTACCCTGCAAATTATTTGTATTTATTTATTTTGGAGAGGCTTTTTTTATTGTTTAAAATTATTCATAAATCTCCATTTCTTTTATTTATTATTTCTATTAAAAATCCTCACCAAGTAATTGCAAAAAATAGAAAGTCATTAGCCTAAATAGATTATAGTATGTTGTTAATATTTTTTTAAATTATACATTTCACTTTTAAATTAATTATTTTTATATTTATTATTTTAATTGTATTATTTACATTAGAATGTTTTGATTACCTTTTTTTAAATTGATTTTTACAAAACAATTTTACATTTTCCAAAATTGTTTTGTATAAGTATTTTTAAAAAAATCAACTCCGTAATTGCAAGAGAAAAATCATTTGTTTCTGGGCTTGCAGAAGCTGACACTTTTTTTTTTCTTTAAAGAATTTTGGACGTCATTGACGTGTACGAGTCCCAAATACAACAGCTACGTAATGAACTAATGTAAGCATATGAAATAATTTTCAATTACGAATAATTTTCAATTATTGATGAATTTTCCTCAAAACATCAGTGTCATGTTTTCCTGCAGACTGTATAAAAGCAGCTCAGGAGAGAAGAAGGACTCCTCAAACTCCCAGAAGAACAGATCCGCAGTGGAGAAAGATGCCACTGACTATTCCTCCAACTATAAAACCCTTTTAAAGGTATGATCAATGATAAACGTTTTATTTCTGTTCCCCGTCTTGACACGTAAACATGGTTCTGTTCGACTGCAGTCATACCAGGAGCAGCTGAAGGAGACGAA